TGATGAATGTTGTTGTGGATATTCACGACCCCAATCCAAAACAGCATCCCAGAAGTCCTGTTAAACATCTCGGCTACATGCAGCCCATTTGCATGCGCGACGACCGCGTGTTGTGCCTCCATTAACTCGCCAGCACATGGCAAACAGACGTCAATGGTGTAGACAGCGTAGGAATTGGGTTAATCGCCGATGGGCGCGTGTAAATGTTCTCAGATGAGTCCAGATTTATTAAACATGACCGGGTGCGCACACTAGGCGATTTTTCTCTTTTTCATCGTGGGCGACCGAAACTGCCTATGTCGTCGCGTAGTGTGCGCCGGGCGTAAGCCAAACGAGGGTGCGTGGCTAGTATTATGTGTTTCTACAAATTTATTTAGGGTTTGACCACAGCGTCATCCCTTGCCCTAATTAGGGTTGTTGTTATGCGTTGACACTAAGTAGTCTATATACTGTATATCTATGTGTGTGTGTGTGTGGGGGGGGGGGGGTGCACTAAAAGTATTAGTGATACGTTTTTTATTATTATATTACATGTTGTATTTTAAAGCCGTTATATGTAACACGCAGTTGCACAGTTCCGAAATTAAGTAAATTCTATAGCTAAGCACCGTCTACCCTTTCGATTAGCTTTCGTTAATAAGTTCTTTTCTATTTATCAACTGTTACTATTGTTCACTGAATATAGTGTACATAGAAACTCACTCATCTGTGTAAAAACCATTAATAACCAACAATATAGAAGCAGGGAGGCATGGAACAAAAAATCGTGCTCATTAATCATATATTAAACAGCAAAGGAAACCAAAATCAGTATTTCAGGTCTTTGTTAGCACAACATCATTTTACCACCAATAAAACGGAAATCAAAGACGAAAAAATGATCAATTTGGAAATCAGGAGAAGTCCTCTGACGCAAATAAATTGCTCTCTCAAGTTACATAAATCTCTTTGCATCACTCCCACATTATGCTGAAATCTTTTAAGAAAACATCTTGGCTTTCATGTAGCTGCTGTGTAATATACACTGTTATCGAGAAGAGTACAGTCAAACATGTAAAGCTTTAAATAATCTGATTGATATTGATGAAGGCAGATTAAAAATATGTACACAATGATCTAAACTAACGTCGAAAATAACGTTAACGGGCGTATAGCTCTATACTTTGGAACCTTGAAATGGGCAAAAATGGGTCTAAAAACACATATTAATGCAATATGAATGTATATAAAGTGATTTACATGTGTATTCAATTTTTTAAAAAGTTATTGTAATTTCTAATATGGTCGGTGAAATACGTCAACAGTCGTTTACGCCCCCTTAGTTCATACTGCACGTTATTATTATTATTTTGTCGTTTGTGAATCATGCTTTACTAATTACTTCCATATTATATTGTAGGATATGTTTTTATTTGCTCATTACAAAATGGCACACGAAACCACAAAATGCGCGACTTGTGTACTGATTATAAAGTGTTAACTGTGTCTTAATATTGGATATTAGGTTCCTATATTTTCATGGCAAGATAACAACACCAATATTGAGTTGGTTTCTAAAACTCGTGGTAGAATATATAGCACATTCGTCCATTTTGATGTCGCTTTTAATTTCGTACTACATTGTTATCCGTGGAAGATGACATACATGGTAAATTCATCAGTATCATTAGAGTTAGAGTTTCAAAGTCCAAATCGTGCGTTTTAAGTCCTAATGGTATACCGGAGATATTTAGTGGTACAAAACAAGGATGTGTGTACAAAGGGGTCCAGGGCAAGTCCTTTTATATTCTCCTTGTCAATGTGTGAAATGTAAACTTGTTATTTTGAACGCAAAGTTGTGGAATGCGCGATATTGATAGGATTCGTCTTCTCATGACCGCGGTGATAGACACGGAATTTGAAAACGAACACATTTTGCAATGCTGAATATCGATAGGGAATTCCGAGACCCGTTCTGAAGTTATCTCGCCTTTTTCGAAAACAGTTTTTTAACAGGCTACTGTTTTAAATGTGTGCTGTGGGGAATGCGTTTGATTACACCCCCTATTTTTAGACAGACTTTTAAAGGAATTGTACAACGAACATCCTTGGATAGTGGTCATGAAGTCAATTGCGAGGAGTTTCATAATGGTGGCCACGGTTAGATAGTGACACTGAAGCCTTATTCACAAGTTATGAGATTTGTCATGCGTTGAAAAATCCCCTGCTATGGAGCCTTTATATCCATGGAAATGGCTAACAAGAGTATGGCAGCGCGTGCGCAATGACTTCGCGGAATAAGATGGCGAAAATTATTTAGTGCTGATTGACAGCCACCCACCCAAAGTGGATAGAGGTTGAACATAGGCATTCTACGACCACTGCTAAAACTTGAAATGTGGTTTGCAACTGATGAAAAAACTGCACAAATACTTAAACGTGGACTTTGTAAAAATTAGCCTAAAAATCGGGTGGTGAAAAGCAGACCATCAAATACCAGTTAGCGAGTTTCTTAATTAAGTATTGAAACACCCCCCATTGCTTTACAGGTTTAACACAGGCCAAAATGCTTTTGAAACGTAAACCGCATGTCCTATTTGCATTGTTGTAACGGCCAAGAAAACAAAAGCTATTCATGGCAGTAATCGCGTTCGATTTAATCTTTGCCATCTGGGTCATCCTCGTCGTGTGTGCCAAGCACGATCCCCAAAAGAAACTTTTGAAGGTACTCAATTACATTTTGTTATTTGATACGCCACGCCTACTCCGTAAAAATCCGATGTCGACAGGAATCATTGCACCACAGAGAATATGGCTAGAAAGCCCAAAATATTTTTACGACCTATTGAGAATATCGTTAATCGCTAAAAAATGTATTGATTTTGTTAAAACCATCAGATCACCCTATGTAAATATGGATTTTGTTTTCATAAATGTTACATATATAATTTAGCGTGGATTGAGCCTTACATATTTTGATATAGTAGCGAAAAATGCAAATTCCTACCATTACTTTAACTACGAACTAATTTGTTATACGTCCACATTCATAATATGGACATATTATGCCGTCGTCCCTGTCTGTCTTGTGTGTGTTTCTGTGTCGCCTACAGGGCGGAATTCTTTACGGATTGTTGTGAAACTTTCTATACTTATTCCGTATACTCTAAGGATGACCCCTATTGTTTTTGGTGGTTGTATATACCCGACCCCCAGAGACAGAGCCATGTCCATTTTATCTTTGTGTGTGTGTGTCACCTACACGCCGTAATTCTTAATGGGTAGTCTTGGAACTTGGTATACTTATTCCTTATATCCTAAGGACGCAACTATTGATTTTGGTGCATGATCCGCCCCCCTTGGGCGGTGCCACACGCATATTCTGTTAATATTTTGTCTGTAAATAATCCATCTTAGCGTTGTACCTATTTGTATTGGCCCATATCCTGTCTACAGACTGGAATTCTAAATAGATCATCTTGGAACTTGGCTTATTTATTCCTTATACCGTAAGATAGCAAATATTTATTTTGGTGCATGTCCCAAGCCCCCAGGGGTGTAGTACCACGCCCACTTTTTGTTAATTTTTTGTCTGTAAATACTCTACAGGTTGCAATTATTAAGAGATTTTGTTCAAATTTAGTATATCAGCATAGGTACAGGGTTGTACCTATATAGTTCCTTATTCCACACCCAAGGGCAGAGCCACGTCCATTTTTTGTGTTTACCGGCTACAGTCTGCAATTCTAATTGGATCATCTTGGAACTTTGCATATGTATTCCTTATACCGTAAAAACGGCAACTATTTATTTTGGTGCATGTCCCGACTCCCTTGACCGGTGTCACACTCAATTTTTTGTTAATATTTAGTCTGTAAATTTGGCAAAACAAACCCAACGCCTAGCCTTCTTCGCCTCATTGAAGATATTTCATATTTTATTCTCTTCATTTTAAAAAGTACCATATCAATCAAAGCAGGAATGTGGATGTACATGTATATTGCAGCGGTAGCGATGCTCTTGTTTTATGAAATGAGCTGCACGAATTAAGGGTGCTTTAATATTAGATCCTATTTATAATTTGTCCTATAAATGCTGTAACCAAGACAGTCGCTGTGGCCACATTCCCAGTTTTTTTTATTAAAACAAAAAATGGAGATATACAGCTAAAATAAGAGGCTTCCGATTAAAAAAAGAGAAATTGCTATTGCACAAACCTCTTATCTTATCACACACACGCTCCTTTAAAGTATAATTTCAAGTCGAAAATCTTGTGGAATGTGGTACCACACAGGCATATAGGGGTCGTGAGAAGAAATTTTTTGAAAAAAAAGATATTTTTTCGATGTCCAATTTCTTGTAAAACTCTTGTGATAAAAAAAACACCACGTGGTACCACAAAGACACATAGGGAGGTCTGAGAAGATTTTTTTTTTTTAAAAATTTATTTATTTTCTAAGCCCAATATGTTGTGGAACTCTTGTGGTATAAAACAGCACAGACCCAAAACACTCTTATCAAAATTATTCTCAGTCAAAAATCCTGTGGAATGTGGTACCACAGAGGCATATAGGGAGATTTAAGAATATTTTTATGGAAAAAATTGATTTTGTTTTATAAGTCCAATATCTTGTCAAAAAACTTGTGGAATGTGGTACCACACAGGCATATAGGTCTGAAAAGAAATTTTGGAAAATCTTAAAGATTTTTTTTGGGAACTCTTGTGGTGAAAAGCACCACAGACCCAAAACACTCCATTGAATATTATTCTAAGTCGAAAATCTTGTGAAACTCTTGTGGTGAAAAGTTCCACTCAAATGCCCCCAAACTTTGCCATAGATGGTCTATATTTGTGACTTACTTACTATTGAAAGGAATGGATCTTCAATTATTATCTGAATAAAGGATTATGTCAGTATTCTTAACATGATTCTTAATCGTTGTGTATGGTGTTTGCATTTACCGAATCTTTGCAGCTATTCCGCAATAAATGCAGATTATTTTTCTGTTTGTTGTTTCAGAAATCAAATATGATAATGGTTTTCCATAAACTTATCTTTAAAATGTCACTGACTCTTGTCACTTTCAAATTACCAGGTAAGCTTTAATTTCTAGTTTTATACCTTTCATAATGCTTAATTTATGACGTATATTCTTGTATAAAGTGACAATGTCTCCTTAAACAAGGTGCAACATGTCTCGGCTATATGATTAGGGGTTTTGCCGCGTTCTACAATCTCCCAACATATCCTGTCCTGACACCCCAATATATTTAAACATTTAACCCGGGAGCCCAGTGAGATTTAATCAAAATATTGAGTCCAAAAGGTTTGAGGTCTACAATACATATTTTACCCCTAGATCATTTTGGAAAGCCAAGTCTTAAGTTTTGTAACCTGTGCATATACCTGGGAGCGCTCCCCCTAACCCTCCCATATTTAATGGGAGTTAAAATTCAATGTCCATCTACAATTTGTTTGCAAGCGTTTCACACTTAACACTAAGAAACAGAATGCATGACTTAAGAGTATACAATGTTGTGCTAATGCTACTTAAGAGCTTAATTAATTAGCACTAATTAGTGACCGTAATTAAAATTTAGAGTCCATAACTAAAACAAAGCCTAAAAGCTAGCTAACCAAGTCATGAAACCAAAAATATCACTTAAGAGCGACAAAAGTTGAACAAACCTTGCTTAAGACTCGTTCAAAGGTGACAAAGGTCACTAATCAATGAACATAATTAAAATTTAGTGTCCATAACTGAAACAAAGCCTAAAAGCTAGCTAACTAAGTCAGGAAACCCAAAATATCACTTAAGAGCGACAAAAATTGAACAAACCTTGCTTAAGAGTGGTTCAACGGTGTCAAAGGTCAAACCTTTAAAAAGTACCATATCAATCAAAGCTGGAATGTGGACGTATATTGCAGCGTTAGCGATGCTCTTGTTCAAAATTTTCGGGGGCTTTGTTGAGGTTCGCAAGTCCGTTCATTTGACACTTTCCTCTCTGGGGTCTGATAGACTAGTAATCAGGCGACAGACTGCATCTGATCAGCTCTATTTATCTTTACAATCGGTGCCTGAATACTGTCAGACGGGCATTTCCGACAGTCTATTTTTCAAAATTTTCTTGGGGAGGTCCACAATACCCCCACAAGGACTCGCTGCTTTGGCGCCCACAAGGGGACTTCGTTGAGGTTCGCATGTCCGTTCGTTTGACATTTTGTTCTCTGGTCGGATAAACTAGTGATCAGGCGACGGACGGTATCTGGTCAGACCTATTTACCACGACGATCGGTGCCTGACAGAATACTGTCAGACAGCATTTCCCGCATTTCTATTTTTCAAAATTTTCGGGGGAAGGTCTCCCATTTGGCGCTCGGTTCGCAAGTCCGTTAGTTAGACACTTTTCCTCAACGATCAGTGCCTGAAATACTGCCAGGCTGCATTTACGGCAGCCTGTTTTTCAAAATTGTCTGAAGGAGAACTCCCTTCCCCTATGCCCCCTTAACCTTGGACTTTGCCCCAGCTTTGCCCCCCCCCCCACCACCGACGGGTGGCGCCGCCACTGTATGGAACACAATGATGACAATACAAATATTATATCAAAATAATTATCCACTTCGCATACATATATATATAAATAGAAGTAGCATTGGTGGAATACACAAATCGAATATTGTAATTAATCACAATTAATTTGATATCTAGAAATGTCATGGGTCGGTCGCAGGGATTGTATGCCTCCTTTAAGAAGCATCTCTGGTGTTGAAATCGCCCAAAACAGCATCGCATTCCGAAATCCGTGCCTCACTCCACAGTAAATCTAATTTACAATTGGAAATATTTAGGAGCGATTATCCATAATAGAATGAAAATGATGAAACAAGAGTATTAGCCAACAAGAGTATCGCATGTCTGTATGAATGTATTACTTGTGTGTAAATGTATGTGTTTTCTATGTTATATTAAATGTATACGTGTTGTCCTAAATAGACGTTTTGATGCAATTAACATCTTATCTTATCTTATCTAGCACAAACATCTTGTAAGTATAAACCGGTCTTGATAGCATTATACGGAAAATAACCTTCCGATTTCGACTTTTTTTCCCGTAAAGATCCATGTAAAGGAGAACACATAAATGTTTCGAATCGTATATGGACTAATTCATAATTTAATTGTCTGCATTTTTTTAAAACCAGAGAGTTATCCAGTTCTATACTTCCATTCTCAATATTTAGAATAAATGGAAATGGAAAAACTGAACAGTTTTTCATTTCCTAGGAATGAGTGATTCGTCGCATAGTTTTTCCGCATCTCTTTAGGGCAAGCAGAGATAAGCAATTTGATGGGTTGATTGGTTAATTGGTCTTAATGTGGCCCAAAATATGACCTTTGTCACCAGTCTTACGCCAAGTTTGTTCAACTTTTTTTGCTCTTAAGTGATATTGTTGGCTTCCTGACTTGGTTAGCTAGCTTTTAGGCTTTGTTTCAGCTATGGACTCTAAATTTTAATTATGGTCACAAATTAGTGCTAATTAATTAGCTCTCAAGTAGCATTAGTACAGAATTTCATGCTCTTAAGCAGTCATTTTGTGCAGTGAAACTCATAGAAATGGTATTAGAAAGAAGAATAATCCCGGACAAGACAATTTAATCAAATACACTCAAACGTCGTTATGTGACCTAAAATTTGACCTTTGACACCGTTGAACCACTCTTAAGCAAGGTTTGTTCAATTTTTGTCGCTCTTAAGTGATATTTTGGGTTTCCTGACTTGGTTAGCTAGCTTTTAGGCTTTGTTTCAGTTATGGACACTAAATTTTAATTATGGTAAGTGATTAGTGACCTTTGACCTTTGAACGAGTCTTAAGCAAGGTTTGTTCAACTTTTGTCGCTCTTAAGTGATATTTTTGGTTTCATGACTTGGTTAGCTAGCTTTTAGTCTTTGTTTTAGTTATGGACTCTAAATTTTAATTACGGTCACTAATTAGTGCTAATTAATTAAGCTCTTAAGTAGCATTAGCACAACATTGTATGCTCTTAAGTCATGCATTCTGTTTCTTAGTGTTAAGTGTGAAACGCTTGCAAAAAAATTGTAGATGGACATTGAATTTTAACTCCCATTAAATATGGGAGGGTTAGGGGGAGCGCTCCCAGGTATATGCACTGCTTACAAAACTTAAGACTTGGCTTTCTAAAATGATCTAGGGGTAAAATATGTATTGTAGACCTCAAACCTTTTGGACTCAATATTTTGATTAAATCTCACTGGGCTCCCGGACTAATTAGAACAACGTTTAGATTCCAAGTAACGATGCGCCATTGGCATTTGTGACTAATATATCAAATAGGTACCTTAATAGGTACGCTGATTGATTATTTAACGTTTAATTAAGAAAATAAAATCAAAATACCAACGTTAGAAAATGTCTCGGCTTGGATTCAATCGGATTTAAAACAGACTATCATTAAAATTTCGTGGACAAAAAAATGTAGATACTGGATGGAATTGAGCCGTTATTGGACTGATATTCATGTTAGAGATTCATCTTTCACAATAATGTAGTTTGCAAGTGATCCCTATTGCTTAAATATTGTGTCCATTAATTGTGGTTACAACTATTACTATCATCAGTTTATTTTTTTTTATCCGTGGTGCTGGACGGGGGACTTACATGGACCGAGGTCACGTGTACACATTGGCGTGCACGTAAGAGATCCCTTGGCAGTTGTAATTCGATATAAGAGTAGACCGTTGGGCCGCTGTCCGGGCAAAATCTCCCCCATAGCACACTGTATGGCGTATGGCCGTCTTCAATAGCCCAGTCGGAGCAGGATAGTAGGTCGTTAAACCCAGTTTCATTTTATTTATTTTTGTATCCGCCCATATTTTAATGTCGAAGTATTGGAACCACCTTTTTCTGTCCTTTAACATTGATAAATAAGTCAACACGCTTATCTATCTGGGCAGATGGGGGCGGCGTGTTCCACTGTCAGGTAATGCCATAATGTCATGATATTGATCAGCCCGGCACATTGACAAAATTCACACGTGGCTGCCATTCTAAGAAATATTGTTATTATTCTTAGCGGTTTTTGTACGTAATCTTAAACCGCGAAATTATGTCTACTCATCTCAATGCTCTGGTATGCACCATAAGTCGGATCCTCTCCGAATAACTTTCTGAGTATGTTTTCTTGTAATGATAGAAGGTGAAGACCACCGTTTCTTTGATGAATTTACAACGTGCAAACGTGACTACAATCCAAATGACTGTTAGATAATTATTCCTGACAGTACCTTTCTGATTTGTACTAATATCCCTGCTGAATATTTTGCTTAGTAATCGTAGAAATTGGTTTAAACAATATTTATTTGTAATGTTTACAGTTTTATAACTAAATTACAGTATTAGGATACGAAAACAAGCATGATTATGCTTATAAATATCGCTTCCTGACTAAGGAGTAAATAATGATGAAGCGGGGTATGACAAATACCAAGAATATAAACCAAAAGAAAAAGCAAACAAAATGAGGGTGCCCGGTTGTCATCAGTATTGAGGAAGCGGGCAGTAAGCATTTTTAGCATTGCAATTTTGGGGAAGAATTACCTAAGGTGATACTCATAATTTAAATAGTTATGTTCTGATTATGAAGATTCGTAAAGTGTTGAAAATTGAATAGTTAATAACTGCAGGTACAAATGCTGTTTTCGCATTTAGGATATAGTCTATCTAATGTTTGCGGTCGTGGATGGTTATATAATGGACAAAGATTTACCACAGACATACGTTTGGTTTTCAGATGTGTAGATCATGACTTTGTGATGGTTTAGATCACATTACAATGCCTCATTTCCGAAGTAAAATATGTTCTTAGATGGAGTTAAATATTTCTATATGACTTTTGATTAAAATTGTGATATAGACTCCGTACTTAAAATAACAATTTCATGGTTGTTCCAGGGTGCGATTTAGAAGGGGGAAAAAGATCTTTGATAAGGGTGAGTTCGACTCTTAAAAGTTTTTAAATAAATCTTGATTTACGCAGCTGGTGCGAGTGGCCATCTGATCCCAGGAATGGCATCT